GATGCTGCAGGTAGGAGAGTTGATGTCTAAATCTCTCGTCGAGGTGCATCAGCTTAGACTCAAATTTAAATTAGTGGGTTTCTGTCTCCATATATAGGACACTCTCGTACACAAAAGCTGACGTAGGTTAATCTTAAAAAGTATTTACTAAAACTGTCACTGCACACTTTGGGTAGGGCTGCTTGAATAAGGAATGATGCTACAAAGGCAGCTGGTTTAATTGAAATTCTACAGCCACCAGCAGACACCTGAACAACGGTGTCAATCAGCACCCTAATAAATGACAATCTTGTTTCTTAAATGAGCTTTGCTATACTTATCAAGACACTGCCTATAATTTGTCAAGCGTTTCAAGTCTTGCATTAAGAGCTGTAGAGTTTCGAACAGGCAGTCACAGAAAGCACTTAAAATGGAGACACGGTTAATTATTTAACCTAAAGACTTTCCGTAGCAAGGGTGCACGAACCTGAATCTGACGATACTGAGAAGAGTAGAATGTAGATGGGGATAATTGAGGGTCTGCGTACTTTGGGTATGAAATTCACACAATTTGTTTATCGAACTTGTAATTGCCTTCATCCCCCATAAAGACGGCTTTGTAGAACTTGATCATTGATCTTCACTATCGGTCTGTTTTTTGCCGTTTTATTCGAATTTAATAATACGCGGATTTAATAAAAACTACTAATTTATATAGTAATGATGGAAAAAGTAACATTAGATTTAACTGGGTTCCTTGCCCTAGAATGCCATAGAAATCTTACAATACACCTAAACCTCAAGCCATTGTTTCACCATTTTCCAAATAATTTTCTCCTCCGAGCACAGTTGAATGAACACGACATTAGTAACCTCAGATGGATATTTGAGTTAAACTGAACGTTTTGTGCTTTCATTCATACCATTGAAGCTTGAAACCGTAATACTTCCTAAAGTATATGTTTATGTGAACTGCAGTTGACGGTGTATCCTAATGTTACACATCCGAAGATTGCAGAAATTGCTGAAAATGAATTCCACCTATCTTAACCAGCGATATAAGATGAATCAGTGAAATAAGAATAATGCCTGAGTAACTCTTTATGGATGATCCAAAAGATGGTGTAGGTGTATGATCCTACGGCCAAACATGGACAATATCATTTGAAAAAGCCAGGGTGTTTTATCTGTTTATCTGTAACATGTGTTTCATTATTTTTTAACTTATCCCGAACATCATATCCTACATCTCCTTGCTGAACTTTAAATCCGAACAATATATTAATATGTAACACAAATATGTTCAACTGAGAGCAATGCTTGATTTCAGTGCATCGTGTTATTTTGAAATATACAAAGTGATCTAGATATGGGAAAGCGGAGATTTTTAAGGAGGTAATACGAAAGTCACTTGGAAAGTCGTCAGAAAAGCATTTCGCCCCTCGAAACAGAATGAGGAATCCGTTCATGTAAAGAAGCTTGACACTCAAAATAAGAACCATATGTTTGACAAACGTAAAAAAATTCTGTCTATTTTTAGCGATGCAAACAAACGTTCGAATTTTTACAGTACGTTGTACATAATAGCGTACTATGTATAACAGAACATGTGCAATAAAAACGCAACTTATACAAAGGGCTTAAACCCTACACAAGGAGATTACATCACCGCGTCTTAATTGGCGTGCGGAAAAATAAACCGTCAAACAAGGCCAAAATGCATTTATCCATATAATTGTTTTCTTGTCTGGCGGTAGTACCATTAATATGGAGGCATTTCGTTTCCGAAGAAACGACTTCAATTCTTTAGAATTTCGAATTTCTTCCAAGCTACGGTCTAATGTATTTGTTCAATTAAACGACCTAAATACTATCCGACTTGGTGAACGAAGTAAAAGCTCACCAATAATTACAAGGTGAGTAGAAAATATGTTACCATATCTATAGGCGGACATTTCTAATAAAGAAAGATTCAGGTAAGCGTTCGGGTTATTATACACTGTGAATGCGAGTAGTATACTGGTAGAAAGGAGAGCTGGGAATTGCTTTGTCTAAGCTTTAGATAATCGTACCACTAGTTAGTCATTCTTGACCGATACTTAAATCCTCAAACTACTAGGTGTTAATTCCGTGGTTAGGCACTCTCTAGAATGTTGAGGTGCGTGTTTAAGTTCAGGGTACAGTATTTTGATGCTCGATGGTACTAAGGAAGAAAATACTGTGCTATCGACATTGAATGTGGTGGTTTGAGCATGTATACCGTCACCTGACACTGATGTTATGTCATGCTATATTCATGGTGCACTGATTGCACTACCGTCCATTCTCCGCAATCCCCCTAGCACTAATGCCATGCTTCGATTTGAGCACGAGTTTTTCCTGTTTGGAACGGTGAATTGGGTGTTATTTTACAAGCTTAAGCTTTCTTTACATCTCCACTTAAATGTCGACGGCCCACCCATGTGAGTACCTCCACTAGCTCCTGAAAAGTGCCATTGTTTCACCTCCGCAACTCACAGATTGAGATTGCTGGAGCAGCCTACATAAATGACATTGACCAAGAGTTAACTGAGGTATATCAGTCAACCACGCCCACCGTTAATTCGCTTTTTCTGCTTCATTTGCCGTTGTACAAACTTTACGTATTTGCATCCGCTATGTTGTCTACCTCATTATAACACGACTCATTCATTCATAACGGGGTCATCCATGTCCATTTGAAGAAACACGAAGTACTAACCATTCTGAGTGTAATGTGAATGGACGCGATACAGGACCCTATGTAAAGAATTGCATGCAGGATACAGCCTTGTTCTTGGATAAATATATCATGGGTCAAGCACCAATACCATGTGTGCCAATGCGTGTGGTTGGTACCTTCGTGGAGTGTTGTGAAGTTTCGACTTGGCGACTTTATGGATGATAGTCGAAATTCTCTAGCGCAATACAAAATAGTGTGAGAAGTAGTAGAATGTCGGATTCTGGGAAGCCCACCTTTCGGGAGACGGTTTTAGTACCAAGGTATGAGAAAGGAATTTTGGAAGATCAATCATTCTTGCTATCCGGAGAGCCATAATAACAAGGGAATACCTCACATATAAGAAAATGTCACCATATGCACAACGTTAAAACATTCCGTACCGTCCCGCATAGAAAACGAACCGATTAAATATTCAGTGACACTATGTCTTGTTTAGATGTGAGATAATCACTGCTTCCATGGAATTTTTGGTTGTTCAAAATTGCGGCCATGTCAAAACTCTATGAAAGCCTGCGGAATGCGCAGTGATGGTAAGTACCAGCGGGATATCTAGAAGTTTTCTCAAGAGTTTAGCTTACGTTTTGTGACGAGTCTCATCGGCTCAACATGGCAGAATCGTCACTGCATCAGAAAGATACATCATCCACCGTTTTGTCTTCTCCTTCTGCCTCAAGGGCTAGCAACCACTGGAGGGACACTGTCTAACGTGGTTTCCTGTATCAAGTCTTGCGTATAAGACGGTATGAGATCGGACTGTTTTAGATCAGTCAAATAAATATTTCCAAAGTTTGTAGACCTCAAGATAGTACTTCAAGTCTTACTCACCCTAGGTTCAAATGTGCTACCTCACCATATGTCATGAATCAAAAAACAAAATAGCGAATTTTATGCAAAGAAACCGGTTCTACAAACCCCACCTAGTAGGTCATAAAATGCAGTGCGTTTAAACAGAAGCTTAGTATTTCCAAAATAGTGAACTATTAAATAATGACCGTCGTTGAATTCCTTTTTCGACGGATCTTATGAGTTTTGTTAAGACATCCGAGAAGCGGTTTGCGTGATATCAATAGCTGATCACCTGTTCTTTCTAACGAAGACGTTGCACTCATGCTTTCTATGCACAGATGGCTGTTTGTTGTTTTTTTTTACTGGTGTTTGTATAAAAATATTAAGTGTCTTATTTTTCTTGCAAGTGAAATCTTTAAACCTAAGAGTTTGCAATCATGTTGTGTTTTGCTACGCAGCCAACCATATCCATTTGCGTTTCCCGTTCGCAGTCAAGGAAAGTAACCTAAAAATTCCATGTTTCATATTTTTTCAATGTTCTAGTGAAGCTTATAGCGGTGCGCTTCCCCAGGAATTTATTCAGCTTTAAACTGGACCCAGCACTACGTCTAGAAAACTACTGACGAGCCTATGAGCATTACTGAAATATTTTTGACAACCTTTTCCAGCAAAAGCTTAACTTTTACTGGAAGAACTCTAACTTTGCCCATTTACTAAACATATTTCCATCAGGTTGCTTCCCCCAATGCTACGCTGGAAGCCATTGCCAGCATCAGAATGCACACATGTTGTACAACACAAGAGTATTCGTAAAATGCTTTGTGAAATCAGAAACACAGGAATAGACAGCCCCTTCTTTATCTAACATCTTGAGAAAATGCGAAGAGAAATCGTTTGTTCCTATTAGTCTGGGGGCTGCGTCTGCATGTTAGTTGAACTACTTATTTAGAGTTACATTAGGGGCTATCCAACAGTGGACAGAAAATCAGGTTTGCCCTACAAGTGCAGAAAATTTACGCTGAAAAGACCAGGTGCACCGTGGTAATCCTGGAGTGCTCATTACTGCGCACCTCAAAAACCGCTTGGAAGGCTCAAAACCAAAAGATTGTGACTGATGTTTGATCCCTACAGCCGGGGTGGGCAACTTACACCCGAACAAGACATCAGGTTTCCCGTCTGTCTCAGATCTCATGTCAGGTAGCGACTTATCAGAAATGGACTGTATGCAACTCCTGAAATTTTCTTGACATATTTTGAGAGACTACCTACACACATGTAGATGGGTACGCATAACACTTGATAGCATATAGATTATATAAAGTTAGGTATTCCATTCGTCCTGTCGCTCACTAGACTCTCCGCCAATGTCGTAAGTGAAGGAACATTTCTTGACCAGTAATCGGCAACGATTGGATGTCCAGCAACTTATCCATCACCTACGGGCTACATAATGATTGGATGACGGTGCTATTTGCAAGACCCTTTCCAGGAAATGTATCAGGTTTATAGAATGCACGATTCGGAGTTGGATTGAGAGGAAATATCACCACACGTATTAATGATACCAGCTTAAACGATTTATAGCATGTCGGGGAATATAATCATGCACTTTGAACACGTAAACGCGCTAATTGTGATCAACGTGTTCATGTATTGTGGGCAACAACTTGCTTCAGGTCTGCCCACCATAAAGACCAGTTCCGGCAGTGAACGGGCGAATTCACCATTCGAAAAACGAAATAACTACTTCAATAAAAGTGAGTTGCATTTTACTGCGTCCAGCAGATAATACGTAACAATGTCGGCAGATCAAATCAATCTAAAAACGGCTGTAATGCAATTTACATAGACCCTAAAGTGCATAAATAATCTTGTATGAGCAGATGCGTGCATTGTTCCAGAAATAAGAATAAATAAGGACAAATTACATTAAGTAGATTAAGATCAACCGATCTTTGCCAGAAATCGATTAATCATTGCAATAAGCGGTGGATTTTAAAGAATACTGATTCAGTAATAATGAATGAATGAATATTTCAATTTCAATTAATATTTCATCCAGCTTGATGAAAGTATACGCAGAATATTTTAGTCATGTACAAGCCCACTTACCATGAACTAATTCGTCGGATTTAAAAATTGCATTCTCAGTTGATGTCAAAAGATTTATACAAAATTTGTGCAGTCAAAAAGTTTGAAACATTGCCAAGCAAGCCAGTAGTGCCTCAGAACTAAATATTCAGCAACTTTTCAGATTGTGACTAGGTGAAATTTCATGGCAACAGTCGTTCAATCTAGTGTATTACAACCTATATGTTTGATGCTGTTGCTCCACAGATCGAAGTTCTACCACAGTTTTGGCAACGACTATTGAAAAAAATAATGGGAAAACGTCAACAGGTTTTGGAAGTGTTTGAAAATTAAAGCACTCTAAATGGGAGTAGGTGTTAAGTATCTCGTGTGGATCAATATATTCAGTAAACGACAGAACTATATATTGTAGAACCATCAATGGCTTTGCAGACAACTCCACTCATAATGGAACTAGTGACGGCATATTTGTTGACATGATGACGGGTGTTTTAACATGTAAACAAAATTTTGAGTCTTCAATTTGGAAAGTATAAAGTAACTAAGGGATAGTTTAAGTATATATATATTTGTAGATACATATTTCAGCGCGAAAAGTGTACGAAACCAACCTATCCAGGAGTGATGGAGCTGTATTTCTAAGCGCATCCTAAGCATTTTGCTCAGATGTCTTTAGCAAATGATTAAAGGGCCATTAATCACGGTTTAGGTAAATTAAAGTTTAGGTTTTATTCATTGTTTGAACAGGTTTTAAAGATTCATACGCCACCTATTAAGGTAAGGTATGATAAAACATTAGACCAAATATAGGATCTTATCTTCCCTCCAATCATGAATACCCCATACCCTGGCCATTCTCACGCGGACAGTGGTGTTTTACGATTCGCACATCTTTAATACATGTGATACAGGCCGGCCATTTATTTACACCACATGGAAATCTATACTGCAGAGGTACGCTGAATAACCAGATGTCAGCCTGTTGCATGAATTTCCTTGGATTATTTTGGTCACCCTTTTGTAATTTAAAACGTATTTTCAGAAAGAAACTACCCATTTTGGCGCACTGTCACATATCTCCAAATTTCGAAACCCAAATAAGCATCAATCATGTTCCTAACCACATATATTAAAATGCCGAAAACAGGTAATGTTTTGCACTACTTCAAGCTTTTAACCTTCTAGATATGTAAAATTCTTGCTTTCGATAAATATTTTAGGCAAATTTGGCTGGCTTGAATTTACTGATAGCAGACCTTTCATAATCCTTTGCGCAAGTGCTCGTTTTCTGTAGTTCCCAGCTTGTTTTTCACAAGCAAAAAGTTTGAAGAATTTCGCCTCTAACTAAAGAGAACCACAGAGTATTTTTGGACGTCTGTTGTTTAACTTTCCACTTACTTCCAGAACCTTGTCGGAAATCAGAAGTGCTCTTCTAATAGCTATGTCTTTATCAGAGATATTTATCCCCATGAGGGAATAAAAGCGGGTTGATGGATTAATTTTTGCACGGTCGAGTCATATTTTTGATGTCCTGTATTTAGCTCTTATCCCTTTGAACAACATCCCATTGACGAACATTCTTGTTTCAGGGCTGTCGTCTTCAGGTCAGTACATATATAATGGCTGAATTGCGGATAATCTTATGACAAGCGGAACTTTATTTCAAGTCGGGATAACCGAGATAACCTAAGGAGGTCAAAGGGATGACCATCTAAGTCAGTGGTGTTTAAATAATAAATATACGAAATTTTCATTCGCTTGAAGAAACGGAGAGGATAAAAGTTGCTTTAAAAGGATGCCTCGAGTAGGACGTGATAACTCACACTGCTCTGCGGCAGAACGACGTAAAGATAAGTAATTCATTACGAAATTATCAGTAAACCTCAGGCATTTATACATTCATCAAACTGCAACACTAAGCGCCAAGGCAATGCATTTTAATGCTTTGTGTAATTTGAAGTTTTACTTGAGAATGATATGACAGGGGGCAGAAGAAACTTGTAAGCAATATTCCTTATCACAGTATATAAGATGTCAAATCATGGTTTAATGAGAAAGCGGCTATTTTCATTCAAGATTTGGCATGAGTACTGGTGTGTATTTAAAGGTTGGTGGACGCAAACCGAATGAATTCTATAATGCAGTGCAAAAGACCTGCCCGCTATTTTTCTTCGAATATTACTGTTTAGATAAAGGTGCAGTTGGTGATGTCCATATGCATCTCAAATCTCCACACACTGACGAAGAAGATTTAAATCAAACCTGGTGCACGGATGCAATATTGTTTCCAGAATTCAGACTGAGTGGATGGCCGTACGGTTCGCCTCACTGGCAAAAGAATCTAACTTACCTTCGGTACTACATTACGTCGACACATATAAGGCTCAAATTAATGTAGATTTTGTAGGCTTTGGTCCTAAATCATCCAAAAAAGCTGGTCTACTAACTAAGATTTCCGAAGTTCCTGCAATTACTGTGAGCAATTGCCAGTTGGCGGGTGTTAAATAATGTGTAGTCCACCCTATTCTAAAAACAAATGGTTGCCTAACTGCCTGCTAGTGCGGTGGGGAGCATCACTGATACCATGGAAGTCCCACTGATTTTGCCTGGTGAGATTCTGTGTTTTGATAGCTGGCACAGTTCTGCGTTTTGTGATACAACGTTACATACATAGCGGCACTAAGTATCTGCAAATTAATCACTGGCTTTACGGTGAGTAGAAGGAATATATTATCATTCCATCTCCTGGACCTTAAATCTAGCAAAAGACATCACGGGTTCCATGTGATTACGATGGATTGTTATATACTGCCAGTAAACAACAGGTATTCGTTGTCCTACAGTGCGCACATGCACTTTGCTATAAACACAGTTTGTCTCATCTGTTGAAAGTATTCCGAGGTGTGCAACCACTGAAGTAAGGATTGGCAAGTAGTTGGGTTATCGCAGCAAGTAGACACTACAGAGGGATATTGCAAAAAATGGTACTGACTTTCCCACATAAGCAGTTCAGTGTTATTTTCTCGAGAGACGCACGCAGTATCATCCCGCTGACAGTGAGACACGGACGCACACATGAGCATTTAGGCACACTAAGCGAGTCCTAAAAATACTGAATCAACTTTTGTAATCTAACCGAAAACAAAATGAAATATTCCGGTGTCCATTTTTTAAGTTTTTGGGGAAATATTCGTAGCTGAGGGAAATGGCCGTATGTTTTGTGGGCTAAGTGTTAGCAAGCTGGCTTTTCACAGACCTCGTTGTCGCTGAACTAATGCATAATCGGTAAATATGTCGGTGTGGCTGGAATTTCGCTCAATCCCCAGGGTAGTGTGATGCCCGTGAATTACGCAACCTACCACTTAGACAGTTTTCCTCCCCACGAATCATTTGGTGTGATGTCCAACAAAACTGAGTTAACAATTGGAATTCGTTGTACACATGTTGTGTGTGCTCGTGCTTCTTCTGAACGTTTGTCTAGTTCTTCGTCGGTCTGTCGGATTCTGTCACTTTTATCCCATCGCATGACTAACTTCCTGACTGGCTGTGATGTTATGCGGTATGTGTGGAAGTTCATTATATGAGTGCTGTAATTTATTAGGTATTTTCACTTACATAAGGATGTCAGGACTAATATGGCGTTCGGTCGCTAAGACTTACACTATAACCCAGCATTTATTTGTTCACTGTAACACCCTTTCGATGTCCAGCTGCCAAGCTCACTGAAGGAAGCTAGGATACTGCCAGGTTGCCCAAGCCTGGTCAGGGGATGTCGAGTTACAGAGCCCGAAGTCGAACAACGTACCTTCCGGCCAGTGTATTCGCGCTCTTCTCACTATGCCACCCCACTTACAACCACTTTTCTGAATCCAACGGCTTCCTCAGTACGCCTTGATAAGTGTGCCGGGAGAAATTAAACTTCGGCGTGCTTTTTTGATTACAAGCTTCTGCCTTGTGATCCAGAAAATAAGTGACTTTTGTATTTCACTTTTCTGCCAATCTGATAGTTTTTCTTTCTGATTTTTCCTTTTCTTTCTTGCTGTCTATTTATAAATTTGTTCAGCTGGCCATATACTTGTGTCCACTTGTTTATCCTCTTACCCAACTATAAACCCAGATGTGATGTATCCGTTCCACTGGTATAATATTTATATAGTTTGCTTCACATCCCTGCTGTTTTAAACCAGTTTTTGTCTGCAACTGTATTTTATGTCTCACTCCAAGATATTCCAACAAATCATTTTCACTTGTGGGATGTCGATATCATCTAGTGGTTTTTACGTCAAAAGCTCTCTAATTAGGTAACACAGATGATGCACGTAATACGAGCCAGTTTAATAGGCTCGTTTCTTGCAACGTTTCATCCCACAAGCACAATAGGATATGAGAGCTGTCCAGAGTATTCTTGATCACGTTTATTTGTGTGACGAACCGTGATTTAAAAGAAGACTTACATAGATTGCTCTACGTTTGCGTCCGTTATCATTTGGCATTGAGAATTGTATAACTTAGTTAAAACATTGATGTTTACATCAGCTGGCTGTCAGTAACTGCACTTGTCACGTGAGAGTGAAAGATGGTCACGAGACTCGCCTGTCACACAAAATCAACCAAACATTGACGCCTTAAAGTATATGTTACATTTCGATGGAAACATGCTGCCAAT